TAATGTAATATCATGTCAAATGTGATCTTTTCTCCAGGACCGACCAGCAGAGAAGCCTATATGCATTTGCATTTCCAGTGTAGAGCAGCTGGTGGCAGCCAAGCCTCCTTTCAGTCCTCTGCTGTGGGAGTTCATGAGGAATGTTTATCCAGGAGGCATCAGCTGCATCGTCAGCAAAGGAGACTGGCTTTTTAAACTAGGTAGACTAAGTAGAGTCATTTTGATGATGCTCATGAGTTAAAATCAGCCTGGTTAATTCAATGAAATCAATTACCTTCAACTCAAATATCAACTTTCCTTCTGCAGGAGTAGGAGCAGCTTATGACCGTGTTGGTACCAGGGACAGCATCATGATCCGTGTCCCTGATCATACGGTGACCTGCCACTTATGTGACATGACTGGACCACTTGCTATCACATCAGCCAATCCCAGTGGAGAACCAGACAGCACCCACCACAGCATGGTCATCAAGTAAGACATTCCTAAAAGAAATATAAAAAAAACATTATTATCACAGCATGTTCTCAAACTTTGATATTAATGATCACTTCTTAAATTTCTTTTTCATCACAGTCGACTGGGACACAAGATCCAAGGGGTTCTCTGTGATGGAGACTCCAATGAAGTTGTTGCCTCAACTGTAGTCAACTGTCTGAGAATTGATGAAGGTAGGGGAAAATAATCAAGGCCCCTCCTCATTATGCTGTTGTTGTTGTTGTTGTTGTTGTTTACCCAGCATGCTCTAACTAAAGACTTGTCTACTTTGTTCAGGTATCATCAGCATTGTAAGAGAAGGCTGTGTCCCTGCGGTTAAAGTCCAGCAGATCTTTGATAGGCTGAAAAACACAATGTTGTGAGATTCATAAAGAACCTCATCATGATTTCCTGTAAAGGTCAACATGTTTGTAAAAACATCGTTGTCTCTGCAAAAACTAAGTCATGTGATATTTATTCATTCAAATGTTGTATCCACTCTAAGTTAAAGAATTTTAGCTTAGATAAAGTTATGTGATCCTAAAACTGCAAAAACTGGATTTTTGTTTGAGATTACATATTTGTATGAGAAAAAAAAACTGTAAATGTGTAGATATTTAGCAATGTATTTGAAATGTCCTCTTTGCACACATTGTTACTGTTTAACTTGAGAAAACAAATGTTCTTTTTTTTATCATGCTTTCGTTTAAATTTCTGTATGAAAATAAAGTATTTGAAAAAAAATCAAAACGAAAATCAAGGGTTCAAAATTTAAGGGTTTTCAAATAGAAACTATGCATATAAGGTGGCAAATGATGCAGAAAGCACAAATACAAAGCATGGCCCTGAGAGTGTAAGGAAATATTTTGATGCAATAATGCAAAGGCTAAATAAGTAATAAGACATAAGAAGCATCTTATATTCAGCTGAAAGTTTTTCATAAACATTCTAACATGTAAGAAAGTGAAACAGCATTATCCTGTTCTGTGATGTTTTTATGCTGTTATTTAAACCACTTCTCAGATCTGGTTTATTTAAAAGGCTGTAAAGGACATTAAATACATTTTGGACATGTTTGTGTTATATTAAATAAGGGAAACAGGTGGTGTGTTTAGTCTTAAAACATGTTGCCATTGTAGTGGATCCTAAATAAGGTGAAAGTAAATCTATTTTTATGTGATGTTAACATTTTCCACCTGTAATTCTTGGTCACCTGAAGGACATCTGACTCTCAATTTGCTTTAAAAACTAAGAAATTAACTTGATTTAAAATCTGCATAAAGACATTTTCTAACATAACAGAAGGTAAAATATAGATATTGGAAGAGTGTTGTTGGGCAGGATGGAGTATTTTGCACAGCACTGCCCACAATCACCTGTTGCTACATGCTATCAGTTAGCCTTTCTTTAAGCCACATTGCTTGCAAAGACAACCAACTAGGTTGTTTGAAAATATTTCTTCTAGCAGAAACACAGACGTGCTTGAAGTACCTATTTACAAACCAGTTACCAGAGGAGAGAATTCAATCAGGTAATAACAACTTATGTTCCCTTAATTAATTTAGGGGGGGAAGAAGAGCAAAATTGTTCATTATTCTGCACAGCAGATGCTTTAAAACTGGTTCCCTATAAAGAAAATCTATATTGTTCTGTTAATACTGTTAATATTTAAGTTGTGGTTCAAGTTTTAATAGGCTGCTCAAAGCATCGACTAGCACAATGCTCCCCATCCCCCACCTGTTTCTGCACATTGATGTCAGCTGGGTGAAATGGCTGGATTACATTTTTTTTTTTTAAGTTATTCTGGCCATGCTTGTTATGAGGATCAGACAAAAAAATGCATGTGCTGATGTTCTTTGCAATAAGGTTTAATAAATTTTTTCCAAGGAAAATGACATCAAATATTTCTGAAGGTAGCATGACTTTAAAGGTTAATATGTTAAATCAGTGTAGTAATAATTACAGCTTTTATTTTTAATTGAAAACCATTATGTTGACTTGTTTTGTATCCAATTAATAGTGGTGATGCATTGGTATTTTTAAGTTAATTATGATCCATTTATTTTCTGCAAACATTTTGCAGAACAGCTCATACACAATATCGCTGTTTTACTCTGCATATGTTAAAGTTAAAATGTCAGACATTTCTTACATGACCACCTAAAGTTAGCTGGAAAGAAAATGAACTTTATTACTATAATTCTGACAACTTTATTATTTCATTCTGACAACTTCAGTGTGTCAAATGTCTTTCATTTGAACCTAAGAAAATGTTAACTTCCAATGGGTGAGCAACGTTCTGTGTATATCCACAGTAGGAGAGTGTGTTTGCATCTTTTCCTTGTTATTGTCACACATTCTGGTTTTTATCAACTTAGCAGAGAAAAAAAAAAATCCTAATTAGTTTTATTGCTGACTTTCAACTAAATCTGGATGTGACTCTGAATGCATGGTTTTAAATTATCTGCGTTTATCTGACAGTGTCTGAAATGGACTGGCTTCCAGGATGTACAGTTTATCTACCATAAGTTTTATTTGGATATTATGCAAAATATTATGAGTGGTAAACATAATAATTTTCTTTATATGTAAAGGTTTAAACGGCCATCATACCAAACGGATATCGGTTTAAATTAAAAAAACAATTTTTTAAGGTTACTTGAAATCAATTTGTTATGCCATTCTTTTAAAGAAGAAGTTCAACTTCCACTTGTTTTGGGGTTTTTTTTCCTCTTTTTTTTAAATCATTTTTTTATGAATTTGCATCATAATCAATGATACGTTTCTCATGTCTCTTCTCTCAGTGAATAAGTAAAAGAAGGGGTGGCTTTCTTAATAGAATTTATTTATAGGAAATTCTTCACATTCCTCTTTCATTCCATTCATCGTATTTTCCTCATTCTAAAAAGCATTTTTCTAAAAAAAAAAATAAAATGACAGATAAAATAAAATGAGATAAAATTAGACATATGACATGATTCTGGTTACATCATATTCCAAGTGCTTTTGCAGAAAGGAAAAATGTTACGTAGGACTGTTATATTTTCATACTCTCTTAAATTAACCCTGGCGACTCATAGAAGTACTTCTGTGATTTGACTTTGGTGTTTTAGTCATAAATCTTTATTTTAAAAACTCATACTAAGATCAGCAAAAAGTAACCATAGCAAACTAATCCATTTAAAATCGCTTTTATCTTTAAAATTATGAGTAATATCACATTCATTAATAAAATGCTTGTGATTTTTTTTTAGATGTACAGTAAAGTATTTACATTGTTCAACCTATATATTTGGCATCTGATGTACATACATAATAAGGTGTTCACACTTTTATTACTTTACTCAACCAAAATCTAAGTTTATATTATAAGGACTTATTGTAATAAACCAAAATGTAGCAGAGCATAATTTTGAAGTGGATAAACAGGATACATGCTTTTTTAGTCTTCTTTTTTCTTTTTAAGTTATTATACGAAAAGTTACTTCTTTTATTGTTTCCATCCCCTTTCTTCTCAAACCCCTACAGAAAAAGATTAGGGCCACTGAAAAAGTCTAAAGAAGTCAGAATTATCTTTTCCCATATTAAACTGAAATAAAATAAAAAAAAATCTGTTAACTTTTTTACTT